GGCTAGGGATTTGAACCCGCCACCTTAGGTGTACGTGGCTGGCGCCTTAGCCGGTTGAGCTACAGGTGCCGAGCCTGAAAAGTTTCTTTTCATGTCTTTTTCCACTTTTTAATGGGGATGTTTGGTTGTTTCTTGCTGATTTGCTTGAGTTCTTCACAAATTCTGGTTATTAGTCCGTTATCAGATGTTATAGCCTGAAAATATTTTCTCCTATCTGTGGGTTGTGTCCTTGGCAGTGCAGAGCTTTTTCATTTGATCAGGTTCCATTTACTTATTTTTGATGTTGCTATGATTATGCATAGTTATATCAATGAATTCCACAAAGAAAGAGAAAATTTCAAATTTTCAGCATAATCACCAGGATACCAAGAGACTACCGATCAAACTGGTTGGTTATTCTGATGTTCCTCTTTTTTCATCTTTTTATCTGTTTTGAAAGGAAAAGTCAAGTATTTACAAAGTTTACAAAAACCTAAATAGAGCTATAAAATAAAAGTAGTTTATATTTTTATTAGAATGGTAAACCTCTGTAAGTTGACTAACTATGGGACTATAACAAACAGATCACCATATGGAGGTGGTCAACACAAGGCCTGCTGTCCAGACATGTACATGTGGAGTATCTCCAGTCTATGAAAATTAGGTCAACTTAAAGAGGTGGTCAATGTAGGGAAGTGGTCAACTATGGAGGCTCTACTGTATAGCAGAGAGGCATGGTTTGAAGGACTTATTCTTCAGTTAAGCTCATATCACTTCTTTAAAAAAAAAAAAGTCAAGCTTGTTAATAGGCTTAAGTAAGTTAAAATCCCTCTCAATCTGGCCTTAAGCCTGTCCCCAGACTCACCTTCTCTCATTCCAGTTATAGCGGCATACAACACTTTCATTAGCTTAAACACAGATTTGGGTTTACTTTTTGTAGTAGTATCTCACCAGCTGATGTGCTATGCTTACTTTCCCAGCTGGATTTAGATGTACCTTCTATATAACCCAGGTTGATGTTACCATTTTGAGTGCCACCAGAGAAAGAGGACTACAACTCAGACAATGGCATTTGTTCAATGTTGTCTGGTTATGACATCGATGAGAAAAAGAAAATCGCTTCCCAGCCAAGGCCACTGTGCATGTGTGGGGTTTGCACATTTTTCCTCAATTCTGAGGATTTTCTTGGGTATTCTTGTTTCCTTCCACATTCCAAAGATGTATATATGAGGTGAACTGATGTCTCTAAATTGCCTCAATATGAGTGAATGTGGGTATGTGCAAGTGTGTGGCTTGAATCCTATCCAGGGTTGGTTCCAGCCTTGAGCACTGAGCTGCTGGGATACGCATCAGCCACCCACAACTATGAACTGGAATGAGTGAGTTGGAAAATGAATGAATGAATATAGATTATTATAAAATAAAAATTTATAAAGTATATGATCACCACACAAATACTACACACATGGTGAGAAACACTGCAGTGCAAAAGCACTCAGCCCACCATGCTCAGGATTGTTTTTGAACCATGTGGTGGTAGATGTTCCTTATTTTTGCTTTGCAAACACTTATTCCTTGATTTAACCCTCCACTATGACTGCTGTCACTGATTCTCGCAATATTGGAGAAATATTTATTTTCCTATTTCTATTAATCTTTCTTAAATGTTTCAATGTTCGATATTAGAAGAGGTTTTGGTCTTTATTTAGAAATTCAGTGATGAGGCTCAGTGCCCATAGTACAGTGGTTACAGCGCCAGCCACATGCACCAAGGCTGGTGGGTTTGAGCCTGGCCTGTGCCAGCTAAATAACAATGACAACTGCAACAACAACAACAAAACAGCCAGGCATTGTGGTGGGCGCCTGTAGTCCAAGCTACTTGGGAGGCTGAGGCAGGAGAATCGCTTAAGCCCAAGAGTTTGAGGTTGCTGTGAGCTGTGATGCCATAGCACTCTACCAAGGGTGACATAGCGAGACTCTGTCTAAAAAAAAAAAAAAAGAAAGAAAAAAGAAAAAAACAAGAAAAAGAAATTCAGTGATGAGCAGAAATAAGCCATAGGAACTTAATGCTTGTTATATCCATTAGCTTCTGGCAAAATTGGTTTTGTTGTATGTTGGTTTGCTTAAAGTTATGGTTTCCAAGAACCTATCAATAACATTAAGTGTAGACTTATTGTATACAGAAATCTGTTACAGGGGTTTGATCTTACACACTTTTGGGAGCTGGTTAAATAGGCTTTGTGTCTGATGAGGTAGTCTGAAGTTCACTGGGCAGGCAGTTGAGAAGGGAAGATGGGGGAGAGCAGGGATCATCTAGATGAAACAGCTACCCCACAGGAAATGCTGGCACTTTTTATTATGGAGCTAGACACATGCCTGGCCCAGGAGTTAGAGAAGCTGAAGGAAGATACAGGGAAAGACAAAACAGCTGTAGGTCTGGCTGGAGTGAGCCAGTAAATAAACAACATGTGAGTCTGAGTGCACCTGACCCAGCCTTTCTAGTGTAAAAACCAAAAAGAGCTGTTCTTTTACTTCTCTCCTCAAATTATCTCATATGGCCTCTCAAACTGGAAACAGAAAAAAATTCTGGGAAGCACAGTTCACCATAGCAAAGCTAGCATGTTACAAAGCCACTGTAGCCAACCCTATGTCAACTTGGCAACCACCCACACCTCTTAAAGCCATACTGAATTCCCAAGTGGAGACAGGATTCGTCATGCTTCCACTGATATAATTATCCCCCATATAACAAACATGCTCACCCTTTCCCCAAAAAAGGACACAAAGTTCCCTTTTTTTGTCTTTAGGTGACTGTTCACTTTTCTTCAAACAGATTCACATTGCTCTCTGATATCTAGTAACTTAAATGTAGAGATGTAAACTACTATCAGCATGTCTTACATTAGATAGTAGGGGAATGAAACAGTGGGGAAGAAACCAAAAATGTTTGGTTAGTCCGTACACAAACATTGATATAAAAAAGGGATATGAATATGTTCCTATTGTAGCATACTGCAGCACTCATTTCTGTCACTGGTCACAAGGTTGTAGCTATTATTTATAACTACCTTCTTTCTCTACCCACTCCATATTCCCTTTGTCCTCAGCAAATACTTCTATTGTTCATAGTTACTTACCTGGTAGGGTAGCCCAAACTTTCATTCTCTAAGAATCTGGGCCATTATCACCATTGTCTAAATTGGGTTGTTATTACTTTCTATTGATTTTACTCATAACTGGGAGTGCTACATTCCAGACATAGTCTTTCTTACCCATATCGTATAGTAGCAACCCTATGTCCCCTTGACAATCAGGTTCAATCTATCAGTAATTCTCCTTCTTTGCCTTCTTGGGTTTATAAAGTGGCCAGAGGAAGGCAGTCTCAACTTTTAGTTCAGTGGAATCATTGCTTGCCCACGGGGAAGTCTTTGGAACTAAGGCTTCTAGATTAGCAAAGCCTAAAGCTGCAGGGAAAGGATGCAAAAAAATTGTAAGTGGATCACAAGGAGTAATTGTGTCATGGAGCCTTTTCCTTTTTCACACCTTAATTTCTAGATCCATGAATCCTGGCAATGGGAGAAAGCACCATAAATCAAAAGCTGATTTAGAGCATATATTGCATCCTAGAGGACACTGCTCCAATCCCACAAGGCATTAGCACCACGCTGGCACTATAATTGAGTCTTCAAAATGCCATTTCTCTATTCAAGCCATCCACTCCAGGATGACGGGGAACCAACAATATAAGACCAAGAACTCCAACCCAACATCATACTTCCTTTGCTGTTAAGTGAGTTTGTTAATCAGAAGTGATGCTGTGGAGAATATAATGAAGATGGATGAGGCATACTGTAAGTTCACGAATAGCGATTTTAGCAGAAACACAGCGAGCCAGGAGGGCAGTTCCATATCGACATCAAATGTCTATTCCAGTGAGAAGCACTGCCTTTTCCATGACAGAAGTGGTCCAGTGTAATCCACTGCTACCAGGCAGAGGGCTGATCCCCTTACTGAACTGCTCTGTTAAGAAATTCAATGTTGTACCCTGATCCACCACAGTGAGTGGAAATCAGTATTGCTGAGCCAATACATAGACTTCCTTCTTGCCAAAATGGTTCCAGGTTATCTAAAACTGGTTCTTTCATCTTTCTACATTTACATTTAAATCATTGAAAGTACCATACGAAACTGAATAAACTTTTTGGTGACACATATACAGAAAGGGTATACAAGGTTATACTTACCAAGGACTGAATCAACATTGTAAGACAATTTTTCTGAATCTCAGGAGGTATATTTGCAAAGCTTCTCTCGGACCAAAACCTTGCAAAATGCTTTATAATCCACCTGTTTAAATCAAAGAATTCTCAAGTTAGAGAAATGAAAATATTTTTCATTATAATAGTCAATAATATTTAGGTTTTCAGTTATATTAATTGCATATAAATGTTTTGACATAATTTAATTTTATGAGCACTAAGATGGACTCCCTTTTCTGTAAATATATATTTTAAACTTATGTTGGGTTATGTGCACAGATCAGATTTTAACATAACTAACCATGGTTCAGCTTAAATAAAATTGATCCCAAGTATCTTGAATAATATCTAAACCAATACTTCTACTCAACTAGTGAAACTAGTTAAACACTAAGCTACTTATATTGTGTCCAAGGAAATAGGCCAACCTTAAAATTGCCCACAAAATTACAAGAATGCAAAATCAAAATTCTTAAATTAATAGCACCAGCACTACTTAAGATAACTTACTTCATGCAGTCAGCAAAAAGACTTTCCACTCCAACTGAATGAGCAATAATCAGGCACTCTAGTATAGACACTAGCGTTTTGGAAACAGGCTAAAATTAAAAGAGAACACCACATTTATTCCTTTTCCACTTACAGAGGCTAAAATAAAGATAATCTAATTTATATGCCTAAACTATAGAATAAGTACATGTAATTCAAATTTTCATTTTCTATATTTAATTCCTTTATCTGAAATTAACTTCTGCTGGTACCCTGGCTGCAGACATGCTCTTGTCAGTCTTCAACTATTTTTTCTTAAAACATCTTTCCACAAAAAACCCCTGAATATAGAAGTTTATAGAAGCTTTATTAATAATTGCCTAAATGTGGAAGCAACCACGATGTCCTTCAGTAAGCAAATGGTTAAGTAAACTGTAGTATATCCATGCACTAGAATATTCAGCACTAAAAAGGGATGGAATACCAAGCCATGAACAGACAGGGAGGAATCCTCAACCTTCGATGCATATTACTAAGGGAAAGAAGCCACTCTGAAAAGGTTAAAAACCATATGATTCTAACTATACTGCATTCTAGAAAAATCAAAACTATGGAAACAGCAAAAAGAGGAAATTAAAAGTTAGAAATTATATAATTAAAAAACATGTTTACAAAAATATATATATAATTAAAACATATAGAACAAAAAAGTTCAAGGATTAGGTCAATAAGAGCAGAATTTGTTCTTCCTATATCTGTTACCACAGCAACATAGAACTCTATTAAAACAAATGAAATAAAGTGAAAACGTTGTCAACAAAATAGCATACTGATAATATAAAAGAAACTTCTCTTTTTATTGTTTAAAAACAATAGAATATGCCTTTTACATTTTAAAATTTAAGTTGATTATAGAAAAAGTGAAATACAAGACTCTCCGCACATAACTCACATGTACTTATGCACCTGTCAAAAAACAGGGGCAACTGTCCCAAGAGGATCCATAAAGAGATTATTTCGACAATGTTAGATGTAACTGTTTTTTTTTTTTTTTGACACAGAGTCCGATTATGTTGCCCTTGGTAGAGTACCATGGTGTCACAGCTCACAGCAACCTCAAATTCTTGGGCTTAAGCGAGTCTCTTGCTTCAGCCTCCCAAGTAGCTGGGATTACAGATGCCCACCACAAAGCCCAGCTATTTTTTGTTGTAGTTGTCATTGTTGTTTGGCAGGCCCAGGCTGGAATCAAACCCGTCAGCTCTGGTGTATGTGGCTGGCACAATAGCCGCTGAGCCACAGGCGCCCGGCCAGTAACTGGTTTTTTTATAAGTCTCTAATATAAAACTTTTTCCCTCAACTAGTGCTTTCCATGATACTGTCTCAAACCCACCTCTTTTCTATTCATTATAGGCAGATTCCAATACTTTCTGGTTACTTTTGTTGGAATTGAGTACAGTACTGCTTTAATATCCCTCTTTAAATCTTCCCCCTCCCCATAACTGACTAGTTTACGGTTGGGATGATCTTAGCAGGGAGTAGAGCAGTCTAGTCTCCCACTTCTCCATTTTCCAGGTCAAACTCCTTTGGAAGAAGGCTATGGGCTGGCTACTATGGTCACCTTATATAATTAAGTAGAGACCAAGACAGTAGTAGGAAAATGTCCTTGACTTTGCTGTGACTTAGATGCTGGTGGCCTTTGCTGATGAGATAGGGGCAGATCAAGCTTCACCCTGGCCTCTCTGTGGATGAGGACTGTCTCAAGTCCATCTGTTCATGATGCATGATGCCTCCCTACATGGGACACAATGTTGGTCTCTGTGTCAGTCTCCTCTAACTTTTATGAAACCATGAAGGTCTTCCTCCTTCCCTGTGGACCACATGTAACTGGGGTACAGAGTGGACACCTGATATTTTTTTCCTCTGTATGACAATAACTACAGTCCTTCATTACCAGGCTAGTACTAGCTTCTCCAGCAAGCCTCCTTCCTTTACGCTCCATGTTCAAGTACATTGTCACTATCTTCTCAAGGCATATTCCAATCTCTCTCAAGAAATCTCTTACCACTTTCTTTTCTTTTTTTTCTTTTTCTTGTGTTTTCTGATGGAAGTTCTAGGGTAGGGTGGTTTTAAAGACATAGTAAAGTGGAGGATGAGAAGACATCATCTCCTCATGGCAAATATTTCCCATCTTTAACATTTGTTTGTGATTCTCTTGGCTCCCCCTAACTTTCCCGTGACTGGGAGTGTGAGGGAGCCTCTTACCAGCATTCTTCACTCTCTAAAGGTAAGGACACCACAGGCTGCCCTCTTTCTTCCAATTCCCTTACTTAGGCCAGAATGAATAGTTGATTAAAAGTGGCTGAGGGTTTAACATTTCTCAGGAAACATTGAGGGGCTGGTAGTGGTAGCAGACCCAGTTGTTCATGGCTCTTATTTTTAGTACATGTGCTGCTTCCTCAGCTACAGTATATAGGGAGGTAGAAGAAGACCTACCCAACACAAGAACCTAAATTTAATGGTTATTAAAATTACCTAGTTTTCTACTCAATAAGAGGTAAATGTGATGTAAATCATTTTTTAACATTTATTTTTGTTGATTATAAAAGTAATTCATTCTCACTGTAGAAAATACAGAAAAGCATAAATAAGAAAATAACAATAACCTAGACACAGGATACATACATTAAACAATGGAGAATCTAAGAATAGTGTACTAAGTGGCTTTGAAATGCTTACTATGGGGTCTTTGTTTAGATAGTTAATTTATCTTTGCATTTACTAACAAACTCGAAATATTTAGTATTCATATTCCACTTGGGGAGGCAAGTGGAAGATAACTATATTCCACCCTAAGCATCACTGTAAAAAGAGGAGGTAAAAGTAAGGAATATACTTCCAGGTAAAAAAATCAATAAAGCACCGTGTAGTTCTTCCATAAATGGAGAAGGTAACCTTAATCTCTGACTACCTTTCTGTCAGTTCCAAGTCTTGAGTGCCGGCTTTACACTTCACCTTAAATTACGGATACTCCTGTATCCTTTCATTAAATCCTCCATATCAATTTTATTTTACTTAAAATAATTTTGAGCTCATTTCTGATTTTTGCAAGCAGACCATATATGTATATTATTTCTCAACTGGAGTTCCCATTAGTTAAACTGACTTAATATTTTTGATATTTAAAGCACTATTACTTAATCAGGGCTAAAAATCTAGTAGGTAATACTGGTTGATAAAGCACTGGGTAAAAGATTTCTGAGACTTAATAATTACCTTCTGAAAGAAATTACAGTAATCTCTTCTTAAAATATAGATTGCTACTTCTTTTAATCCTTCTAGTCCATACATATCAGCCATATTGAGTATCTGACTAAAATAAAAATAGATACATTGTTAATTCTCTAGTTTAATAATCAAGGCACAATACACAGTAGATTTGTTGATATATCGTCTGTTCAGAAAAAAAATCTAAATTATCTTAATTATAACTTTTTGTCTTACATAATAGATAATCTTTATAGATTATAAAAAGAACATAGGCCAAAAGTTGAAAGCATTGATATATGATTTGATTAGTAGAAAATAGCAAGAGACAAATTTGAAATGTTTCAAATTCCCTTCATATGCTCTATGATATTACCAGAGCAAAATCTAGGAAACTGCTTTGAAGGCTATAAAAGGTACAAAACTCTTTGCAACAAATTTGTATAATACAAGGGTTTTTTGTTTGTTTTTTGGTGGTGGTGGTGGTGATGGTCCGGGGCAATTCACTGATGTCTTGTCATACTGAAAATGTCTACAAATGACCCTCATTGAAGAAAGCATCCAATGACCAGTTTTCTTTGCTTCTTTCATTTAGCAATTATTACTGAGCACCAAAATATACTTAGGTATTTAGGAAGCTTCCAGCCTTGAAAGCATGAAAACATTTCCTATATGTTACCAGACAGTAAAACTTTAGTATTAATCTCTATGACTTCCCACTACATATTTATTCAGTTCAAAATTAAAGGAACTAAAGAATTTTTAAAATTTAAAGAGTCTTTCACTTGTCTGATATTAGAATAGCAAGAAGATAGGAAGACATTCAGAAAATTTAAAGAGCAAGGTGGAACTTCACTCTCTAGTGCAGTGGTTCTCCACCTTCCTAATGCCTTCTAATGCTGCGACCTTTAATACAGTTCCCTTTCGTTGCTACTTCATAACTGTAATTTTGCTACTGTTATGAGAATCATAATGTAAATAGCTGACATGCAGGATGTATTTTCATTGTCACAAAGGGGTCGTGACCCACAGGTTGAGAACCGCTGCTCTAGTGGGATTTCAGAAGCTTAGATAGAACATCACCATAGAGTACTTAAGAAATCACATAGTAGTTGGTCTTTAAGATGGCCTATATTCTTAAATAAATTTCAAAGTTTTTCTTTTTGTTCATTGCTGGTTAAAAAAGCCTAAAAAATTAATGTAATAAAATAATTTTCAAAGCTTCATAGAAGTTCGATCAATTTTATTTTATAAAAACCTATGCTTTTCCAAACAAAAATAAAGTTCTAACATAATTTAAGTCAAGTACAGATTTTTTTTCAAGTAAAGATTTTTAAAGATCTTATTACTGTGAGTTGCTAAATTCTCTTTTCTTCTAAATAAAGTAATTTGCCTATTGTTTTTAAGTATTTCTGAAACACACACAAGATAAGGCAAAATAGATAATAAAAGTTAAGCTTCTATTTCATTGACACTTTGCAACATAGCTCAACAAAGCCAAACCTGCAAAATATTAACATATTTATATTTTAAATTATTAAAAAGTAATACATACCCAACATTAGCTTTGTCTGGAAAATCCAAAGTTCCTCCATATATAAAATGCATCATAACATTCATTTCTAAATGGTTTATACTGAAAAATAAAAGAAAACTCAAATTCAGGAATAATTAAAGTTTAACTGGTAACAATGATATGTTCTATTTCTTGTGGCCAAGATATAGTTCTAATCTCACTTTTACCTTAAGGACATATTCTTCAAATAATATCTTCAAATATCAAAATTCTTCAAACATCCGAGCAGGTATACCATAAATTTAAAATAAACTATACCTATGGATGTTTATATAAGCTACAAAATGCTATTAGTTTGTTATCAAATTATTATTTATTGAGTGTCTTCTATTACCATTTTTTTAAAGTTAGAAGGGACTTTAGAAGTCATTGTCCAACCTCTGGCTCATTAAGAAATCCTCTCCTCAGCACCTTCAACAAATGGCCTCTGGTCTTATTTGCAGCCTCAGGCAGATAACTCTACTCACTAGAAAGATTCTTGTTATGCTGTACAGGTTTTTAAATTTGTAATGCCTGTCAGTGGCCAATATCCTCATTAAACAGATGAAAAAGTAAAGACACAACTTATGAAGTAGTTTGGAGTGATAACCTTTATGTCCTACTGACTACTGTATCTCAAACTCTGAATTCATGCCCTCCTTCCTCCTCCCCACCCCAAATTCAGTCCTCTTTCTGTAACTCTTATCTTGTTAACAGCACTGTTATAGAGATTCTTGCATCTTGCCCCCATCCTCTATTTCTCTGTACTACAGGGAGGGAATTATTAATAATCTGATTGGTAGAAAACAACCATTGGTCATCAGTCAGGAAGAAGTCAAGATGAAAGGCAATTTGATTTCTTTTCTTCTTTGCTGAACCAGTAGGAAGAGATGATGGGGAAGAGGTACAGATTCTGACTTCCACTCAGGCGGGCTGTCTTACTGGGATATCACAAGCAAGCCATCTTTGGCTCTTGCATTAAAGCATGTGCTACAGGTTGAGTATCTCTAATCTGAAAATCCAAAATCCTCCAAAATCCAAAACTTTTTGAGCACTGACATGAGATAGTGATAGCTTTCCTTTCCAAAGGTTCAATGTACACGAAATTTAAAATTTTGTAAATTTTCATGTACAAAATTATTAAAAGTATTGTGTAAAATTTCCTTCAGGCTATAAAGTATTATGAAATTGATTATATGAATGGGGTTATTCTTGTCATACCTAACTAAACCAGAGTTGAAGGGCCAGGGGGAAAAAGCACTTATGGCACAGAGCACCTGCTCTAAGAACTGAATTTCCTACAAACCCAGCTGCTGAACTGGCCTGCTGGAACCCTAAGAACAGCTTTACCCAGTAGCTGCTGAAATGACCTGCTATGACTCTAAAGATTTGTTTTACCTATTGCCTTCACTCACCAATCAGAGCTTGCAAGCTCCCAAAAGCTTCTTTAGTGCCAATGAGCTTACTCTGAAAACAATACATAACATTTCTCTCTGAGAACTTTCCCTCTTTTCTTCAGATATACCAAAGACTACCCTAGTCTATGTGTATGTTGTGAACTGCAACTCTGTGATTCCCTAATAAAACATTTAAAAATAACATCTCTGTTCTTTATTTTGACTTCAACATTGTATATGAAACACAAATGAATTTTCTCTTTAGCATTTGGTCCTATCACCATTATATCTCATTAAATATATGCAGATATTCTAAGATCCAAATAAGTCCCATGTATGAAACACATCTGGTCCCAAGCGTTTTGGACAAGGCACACTCAACCTGTACAGCTAACGCAGTTTTTTATCAGTAATAAAGGAAATATTTTTTTACTTTCCCTGTTGATTCTTTTGTCTTACTCTGAGCAGCATGCTTTGTTGGAGTTTTCAGGGGGCCCTCTGAATACTCCGACGGACATAATTTGGCCCCCAGACATTTTTCATCTAGATGCCTAAGTTAGCACTTGAGGTTCATCTTAGTCCTCTCCCTCATTTTACTCTGTCACTTGTACTTTGACGAACTTGTTGAATTTAGCCTCTGCTCTCTATTTCCCCTCTTCCTGCCCTGGTTCAGCCTCTCTTTTTGTCCCATCCACACCATGACAGTGTCCTCTGATACAGGTTTCCTGCCTGAAATCTTCTGCTTGCATCCTATTTCCCACATTGCTGTTAGAGTGACTTTCCTACAGCACGAATCTGATATAGCCTCCTCTTTAACTATTCTCCAAAGCCCACAGGAAGAAGTCCAAATTCCTTAGCTTGGTGTACAAAGTTTCTCAGCATCTGACCTCCCTTTCTAGCAAGTATTTCTATACCTGAACCACTTACAATTTCTTATATATTCATGCCTCAGTGCATACTATTCTTTGGGATTAAAATGAAGGATTTCCTTTCCATTTATTTCATCTTTCAGACATTAGACATGTGGCTCTTTATCTGTTTCCTTTATGCTCCCAAGATGAAAAAAAATCACAGTATGTTAAAAACAGTAGTAACTAACATCTGTTAAGCACTTATGCGACAGTCGTTGAGATAATAAGCATTGTGAATGCTATTTAATCATCGGAACAACTCAGTAGTAGATACTATTATTAGTTTTTTTTTTTTTGAGATAGACCCTCAAGCTGTCACCCTGGGTAGAGTGCCGTGGTATCACAGCTCACAGCAACCTCCAGCTCCTGGGCTCAAGCGATTCTCCTGCCTCTGTCTCCCAAGTAGCTAGGACTACAGGTGCCCACCACAACGCCTGGCTATTTTTTGGTTGCAGCCATCATTGTTGTTTGGCGGGCCTGGGCTGGATTCGAACCTGCCAGCTCAAGAGTATGTGGCTGGCACCTTAGCTGTTTGAGCCACAGGCACCGAGCCATTAGTTTCATTCTATAAATGAAGAAACTGAATTAAGTAACTTGCCCAAGATTTAAATCCAGGCATACCGACTCCAAAGCCTGAGCTCTTAAGCAGTATTACTATAGACATTTCCACTATCACATTTATCAAACTGCCTGGCAATATTTTTGTTTACATAATTTTTTGTTTACATAATTGCCTATCTTTCTAGACTGTGTTCTATAAGAGGGTTCATGACATTTATCTTTATCTTTGTATCTTTGTATCACTCATACCAGGAGAACGTCAACAATAGTTCAAGGCCCCCAGGATCAGAAGAATTTCCTTTCCTTACATAATACGGGAGTTCTTCAGTAGACTCATGATAGGAACACTGCTAAGACCCACACTGTTTAACTAATATCTGCTAAATAAACAGTTAGGGAGGCAAGAAGAAAATGAGTAATTTTCAAGAGGGCAGGAATCAGAAGGTGTGTGCTTTATTCTATGACCTTAAAAAACATATGCTCCATAAATGTTTGATGAATGTTAATGAATGCCATATTAAGGCACTTACAGCATGTTCCCAAACTTTCAGAAGAACAATACATTGAAAATATATAAATATTTTTCTATTAATTTAATAAATACTTACTGGCCCCTACCATGGCTAAGAACGGAGTTCTGTGGATTCAAAACTCTGCATCTTTAATACTTAGGAAAAAAGCCAAATATCTAAATATTCTTATTTGTATACCACAGATTTGATAAGATTTAACACAGAATAATGAAGCCATATTATCTGTAGTTTGTCAGTCTAAAACACTAGCATAATTACTACATACCCTAGAATAAATACTAGAAAACACTAGCATAAATACTAGTATTGTTATATACACTTATTGTCAGACTATCAATGCTAATGAGAATTGGCTACTTATGTTGAAAGAATAATTCCTTTTAAGTCTTGACATGTTTAAGCAAAGATAATGGCTAAATAAAACCAGAAGTCATTTTATTAAAATAAACAGCAAAATCTAAACACTTGAGCCTATCTATCAACATATGTGTATACGATACAAAAACAGCAAGAAACCATTTTCTGACTGTTTTGACAGATGTTTTACTGGGCTATGTTCTTGTTATTATGATGTAAGTCATTTGTATTTTTACTAAAAGTGTTTTTAAAGACATGATCAACCGACCTAGAAAAGCAACAAATTATTCTGATTGCCCACAGTTTAAATGGAAAGATTTAAAGCACTTTTCCCATTAAAATGTAATCAGAATAAAAGCTTCTAGAAATGGAAAACATTACAAGAGTTAGGAAAAAGAAAAACCGCTGAGAAGACAAAGAACTAAGATCAGAGACTTGTAAGCATGTACCTAGTTTACTAAGATCTATGTTTCATGCGTGCTTTCTTTTTTTTTTTTTTTGAGACGGAGCCTCAAGCTGTCCCCCTGGGTAGAGTGTCGTGGCATCACAGCTCACAGCAACCTCCAACTCCTGGGCTCAAGAGAGTCTCCTGCCTCTGCCTCCCAAGTAGCTGGGACCACAGGCACCCGCCACAACGCCCGGCCATTTTTTGGTTGCAGCCATCATTGTTGTTTGGCGGGCCCGGGCTGGGGATTCGAACCCGCCACCTTAGGTGTACGTGGCTGGCGCCTTAGCCGCTTGAGCCACAGGCGCCGAACCTCATGCGTGCTTTCTAAAGCTTCAGGCTTCTGTGTGTGAGGGTCAAGGTAACACAGAGACTTCATTCATTCATTTGTTCATCCATTAACAATGAATATTTATTGAATAACAGACTATATTCTAGATGGTGGGGATACAAGATTTTTACGTTCTAAGAGGAGGATATGGACATAAATAAGTTAAAAAATTAAAAAGATAATTTTGATAGTGAAAAGTCTCATGTAAACAACACAACAGGATAACAAAACAGAATAACCAAGGAGCTGGGCTATAGCTACTTTAGGAAGGTTAGTCTGGGAAAGTATACTTGATCTCTTTCAAGCATGAGAAGCAACCAGCCTTGCTAAATACTATGTGAAAAACTCTTAGGCAGAGGAAACAGCAAGTGCAAAGGCTCTCATGATTGGAGGAAAGGTCAACAAATGAGGGCAAGAATGGTTTAAAAAAATTTGTTATTTGAGAAAGAAGTTGGGGCTAGGTCATATAGGCCTTATAAGGTCTTGTAGGTCTTGGTAAAGTAGGATTAATTCTAACTGTGATGAGAAGACACTGAAGGAGTTTAGTCAGGAGAGAAATATAATCTCATGTATATATCAAAAGCTCACGCTGAGGAGCAGAGCAATCCGAGGAATCTCCCAAGGGATAAGAAAATCCAAATTTATGCTCCAAAGCCCAAATCACCACTGGAAGACTTCTATTTATGTAAAATGGAAATATGTGTGGTTTCTTCACAGAAGTGTTGGCTGTGATTCAATTTCCATTATAGTACATGGAAAATTTTCCCTATTCCTTCCACTAGAACAGAATTTCCTTCCAGCTATATCCTTCTACTCTCCCACCTCTGAGGAATGGATGGAACTAGGATTACAGCACTCTTCTATTCCAATATCAATTTATGAAAGGCTGCCCTTCTTGAAAAATATCATTTGCATTAAGCCTTTTAGTTACCAACTGATTAAAACACTATAGTTCTTTCTGTAAGGACAGACAAAATTTTATGCCAATCTATTTGGTAAAAAATATCTTGCAGACATGCAATGGCTACACGGTTCCAAAAAGAAGCTGCTGATCACTGAAAGGAGGCATCGGTGTCCTGACACTGGGAAAAGCCCTGACTTGACCCCTTTTCTCTCTAGAAAATGAGAAAGGAGACACAGACTGTATTAATGAGTACTACAGACTACGTACCAAGCACTATGCAAGGTTCTTTCCTTACTGTACCTAATTTAATTCTTTCAGCAACCACAAGAAGCTCAGAATTTTAAGGAATGCCCCTAAAGTCATGAAACAAGTAGGGACTGGATAGACAACTGCCTTTAAGGACACCAAAGTAGTGATCTTTCTCCTGTACTACACTCCCCATGGAAACATAAACCCAGGTTTACAATATAAGTTAATAGGAAAATGTAATGTTTCTATAGACTTCTTTGTCTCAATACAAAAACTCCTGAAATATTTGATTTTTTAAAAAGTAAAATTCCTCAATCTTCTTTAGTATTCCAATAGTAATATACCACAATAGTAATAAGATTTTAGGTAGTAATCTGAGACAATCAATTCGATACATGAGACAACAGGAAAAGGCAAAATAGAGAAAGGCAAAATATATCACAAAATTGTGTGATAATACTGATGACTTCCTACTGAACCTCAGAGTCAAAGCATTCTATAATATTCTTATTTGACAATGTGAATGTTACTTTTTTTGCATTATTATTATTATTGTTCAATATTTCGTTGCAGCAATCATCTGATTTCTTTTCTGAATGTATTTATCTTCGTTCATTCTTTTTTTTATTTTTTAATTTTTTTATCTTTGTTCATTCTTTACAAGGCTTTTGTTTCTAGTTCTTATCTTAAACATTGGTATTGTTATTAAATTTTAAGCCTTTATGATTTTGTGAAGGCAAAAAATGGAAACCAAATAAACACATGTATATGTAAAAAAATAAATAAAATAAATAAAAACGGAAAAAAAATTGTGTGATAATAATAATAAAGGGGGCAGTGCCTGTGCCTCAAAGGAGCAGGGCACTGGCCCCATATACCGGAGGTGGTGGGTTTGAACCTGGCCCTAGCCAAAAACTGAAAAAAATAATAATAGTAATGATAATAATAAAGGGTATATATAAAACCACATATCCATCAAGTGATGCTTCCTTCTTTCAGTTTAGTTTTAACAAACCTCACTTTATTACAGATAAGGGAGCAAAGACCAATAGTTGATGTCACAATTTCTTTCCTGTCATGACCTCTTACTAAATAGACCTAATCTTTAAAAGCCAGGGTGTTTGAATGTTTAATCCGATCAGCTCATGAGGGGTGATTAAGAAAGACCGAGAGAAAAAAAAAACACTGAAAAATCCCATAAGTGAACTTAGAGGTCATCTTGAACAATACAAAACAGATAAAAGTTGAAAGGGTGCCCTTCAAATGGCCTTCCCTGCGGATCTTCGTCCCACACAATGTGTTCCTCCTAATGTACCTACCAGAAACTTCAGGGTTCTATAGGACAAAGTTTGAAAAGCACTAATGTAAACAGTGGAGACCAATCTGAGCTAGCTCAAACATCCATGTCAATGGGAAAGTTTTTAATTTCTTCAGTGCCTGTGGTGTAATGAACTCTGAATGAAGAAAAAACACGAACAATGCATAAGCATATATTAACCAGGTAAGCCTGGGAAGATATTTCTGTGATCCTGTTTTTACTCATCCATAACATGTGAATATACCTTCATTATCTCAAAGACTGATTCTAAAAACTAACAGGACAGAGTAAAGTGGAAGAAGTATAGAAAATCCAAAGTGTTAGCTCAGCGCTGTAGGTCAGTGGTTAGGGTGCCGGCCACATGCACTGGGGCTGGTGGGTTTGAACCCACCCAGGGCCTGCCAAACAACAACAACAACAAAAAGCCAGGCATTGTGGCGGGCGCCTGTAGTCCCAGCTATTGGGAGGCTGAGGCAAGAGAATCATTTAAGCCCAAGAGTATGAGGTTGCTGTGAGCTGTGACATCATTGCACTTGACCAAGGACAACATAGTGAGACTGTTTTTAAAAAAAAAAAAAAAAGAAAGAAAGAAAATCTAAGGTGTTATTAAGGCATTATTATTGATCAGGACAGAATCTATTTGGAGAAGGGAACAAAGATATGTATAATAATAGGTTATACAGTAAAAATTGTCACTAACTTACAAGGAACTAAGATTTTTTTTTTTTTTTCAGGAAAAGAGTTAGACATGTGGTCTCTGTAAACCACTTTTTTCTTCTGCTACGGTATATGATCCCATAAGCATACACTTCTTTTGACCTTTGTCTCACTACCAAGAATCACACCATTTTTACTGAATGTCAGAAGTTACATTATGGGTCAAACTAGTGTTACTTCTCCATTTGAATGTTTACTGAATTCAGTTCTCATGAGAAAGAATGGACAGTTTTTAAAAATCATGTCTAAACCATATGAATTACAGCCCATGGAGAAGTTTTCAAAATATGCAAAAATGATTATCCTCAGGATTGGGATTTAGCCTCTAGGTTTTGCTAGCACTACCCTTCCTACATTCAGTGGATATGTTAAATTCATCACCAAGGAAAAGATCTTTATGAGTAGCATACATACATTTTTTAAGTTGTTCTTCAACAGTGATAATAAAATCTCACCAAGAGATCAACCTACAAATTCCTTTTACCCACAGAACAATAAACACTTTAGCCTAGCATTTAAAATCTCCCATAATCAAAGACTAATTATTATGGCCAAAATGTTCATGTTCCCTACAAACTCACATGGTGAAGCCCAAACCCCACCGTGGTCCCACTTGGAAATGAGGCCTCTAAGGAAATTATTATTATTATTATTCTTTTAATATTTTAAGGAAGTAATTAAGGTCAAAGGAGGTCAAAAGAGTGAGCCCCTTGATCTGATAGGATTAGTTTCCTTATAAGAGACCATATAGCTCTTTCTCCAAGTGCATACACTGAGGAGAGGCCATGTGAGAGCAATGTGAGAAGGTGGCAATCTGCAAGCTAAGGGGAGAGCCCTCATCAAATACAACCTTGCTGGCACCTTTGTCTTAGACTTTCAGTCTCCAGAATTGTGAGAAGATAAATTTCTCCTATTTAAGCCACCCAGTTTCAGTATTTTGTCACAGAGGCCTAAGCATATTAAATACACTGCCTCCCATTACAGGAAAATTACTTTGTTGAATACATGAGAAATATTTCATTGAACATCCAGAGAAATTAGATTCTTTAAAAGTGCTTTGTATGAAGTACTATTTGCAATCATTTGCAGTCAAGCTGCCGTGTAAAAATTATGCTTACCCTTGAAGAGTAACATACTCTTGAGAGCTTTCAGCCCAACAGCCACTCAGCATTGCAGCAAAATAACTAGATCTGGCGCTTAAAATGGCCCTAAAGAGAAGAGAAGGGGAAAACACAGGTAAACATTTATGTATTATGCAAAATGCAATTTTTAATGAAGCTCTTCATCTTTACCTCATAAACCAAGGTAACAACCTATTTATTTATATTCACTGGTAGGATTATTATAATAAAAATTATAAGCCCATGTTTATACCTATTTTGATGATTTGTTTAAAACATTAATTTCAATGCCTTTTTCCCTTTTAAATTTTTTTTCTCTTAAGTCTCTTTAATTTTAAAACAATTAAAACTATTTCCATGACTAAGGGAGTAATAAAAAATAATTTACAAATGAAATGATGAAGACCAAAGATGTTACTTAACATCTTAAGGAAATATTATTAACTAAAAGACTATAATTATTATTTGTTAGTTAAAAATGTTTAAATTTTTAGGCTGGGTGCAGTGGCTCATGCCTATAATTCCAGCACTTTGGCAACTCAAGCTGGGAGGATTGCTTGATGCCAGTTGGGGACCAGCCTGAGCAAAAGTGAGACCTGAGACTCATCTCTACTAAAAATAGACAAAAGTAGCTGGGTGTGGTGGCCCATCCCTGTGGTCCTGGCTGCTCAGGAGACTGAGGCAGTAAAAGTACTTGAGCCTCGGAGTTCAAGGTTGCAGGAAGCTGTGAAGACACCACTGCACTCTCTAGCCCAGGGAACAGAGCAATATCTTCTCTAAAATAAATAAATAAATACAATTAAAAAATATTTTTAAAGACAGAGACTACAATTATAAAGGTCCTGAGTTCTAATTCAAAAGTTACCCTAACTTATATTCAAGAAAGGTTATATTTTAAGTTTGAAAAAAATGAAAGGAAGAATATTTTCTTTTGAATTTCCACTCTGTCTTCTCAAATGAGCCATGAATTCATTTGTCTTTAATTCAACAAATATCCACTGACTTCTCTTCTGTGCTAGGTGCTGGGAACACAGCAGAAAATGAAAGACACAGAGCGAACAATTCCAGCGGAGGATGGGATGGAAGAGTGCAGGACGACAGAGGGAAGAAAGACATTTCTGACAACGGCTTACTAGGCTGCCTCAGACCAAGGCACCTGCGGAAAGCAGCTGGGACAGATGGGCAAAATATATATGTAGTGAAAAAATAAGAAGAAAATTCCACTTATGTTTTCAGTACTAGATTAGGTCTGGCAAAAGTTATAGTATACAATTCCTTTTCAAAGGCAAAAAAAGGAATAGTTTACTTACATTAAGATTTATGCCTAAATAATCTAAGTCTGCTATTTTTAAAAATGAGCAAAAGATTTGAATAGAAATATTTCAAGATATACAAATGGCCAATAAGTATATAAGAAGATACTCAACATCACTGGTGGCTCGGCGCCTATAGCTCAACCGGCTAAGGCGCCAGCCACGTACACCTAAGGTGGCGGGTTCGAATCCCCAGCCCGGACCCGCCAAACAACAATGACGGCTGCAACCAAAAAATAGCCGGGCGTTGTGGCGGGCGCCTGTGGTCCCAGCTACTTGGGAGGCGGAGGCAGGAGACTCGCTTGAGCCCAGGAGTTGGAGGTTGCTGTGAGCTGTAATGCCACGGCACTCTACCCAGGGGGACAGCTTGAGGCTCTGTCTCAAAAAAAAAAAAAAAAACATCACTGGTGATCAAGGGAATGCAAATTAAAGTCAAAATGTGATAGGCCAGGCGCAGTGGCCCATTCCTGTAATCCTAGCCCTCTGAGAGGCCAAGGTGGGTGGATTGTCTGGGCTCAGGAGTTCCAGACCAGCCTGAGTAAGAGCAAGACCCTGTTTCTAAAAATAACCAGGTGTTGTGGCTGGTGCCTATGATCCCAGCTACTCAAGAGGCTGAGGCAAGAGAATCTCTTGAGCCCAAGAGTTTGAGGTTGCTGTGAGCTATGATGTCACAGCACTCTATCAAGGGTGACAAAGTGAGACTCTGTCTAAAAAGATATATATATATACACATATATGATAGATACTCCTGGGCACCTATTATAGTGTCAAAAATTAAAAAGACCAACAATGTCAAATGGTGGTAAAAATGTAAAACAAATGAAACTCTTTAATTTAGGCAGATTGGGAGTGTAAAATGGCACAACCTATTTGGAGAAATGTTCACCAATTTCATAAAGAGTTAACAGCAATTTATCACATGATGCAGCAATTCATCTCCTAAGTATTTACCCCAAACAAATTCAAATATATGTGCAAAGGCAAGTCCACAGTTTTCATATGAGCTTTATCAGTAATATCTGAACAACTGGAACAACCAATATGCCCACCAACAGGACAGTGGAGAAATAATTGTGGTATATCCGTATAATGCAATACTATGAAGTAAAAACTGAATGAATCCAATACACACATACTCAAGGACAAAGCTAAAAACACTACACTAAACAAAACAGGCCAGACACAACAGTAGGCCTGAATCCAGTTATATGAAATTCTAGGATAGGTAAAATGACCTACAATTCAGAGAACATAAGCAAATAAACAATCCAATTTAGAAATGAGCAAAAGACATTAACAGAAAACCAACCAAAGATATACAGGTGGCAAATAAGCGTATGAAACTCCGTTGTTGCCTGGGGCTTTGCAGAGGGTGGGGTGGGGAAGTTGGGACTGGAGTGAGAAGCAATGACAAAATGGGCACAAGGGAACTTTTTGGTTGATAAAAACTATGCTATTTTGATTGTCGTGGGAGTTAACAGGTTACGTTATACGTTAGTCAAAAACTCCTTGAACTTGGCTTTTCACTGTATGCATTTGATTTAATGCATTCTAATTTAATAAACTTAATTATTAAAAAAGAATGAAAGCAAAACATACTTAATATAGAAAAGAATAGGCTAAGATGACTTCCCAGTGAATTTTAATAAACAGTTAGGAAGATATAAGTAAGATAAAAATCAATCTTATCCAAATTAAAGAATATAAAAGAAGTACTTTGGCAACTCATTTTATAAAGTTGTCATAACCTTGAGGCCTAAACCTGACAAGGACCTTACAAAAAGGGAAAATTACAGGCTAATCTCTCTCATGAATACAGATGTAAAAATCCTAAACAAAATATTAGCAAACTGCATCTAGCAATAAATAGAATGAATAAAACATCACAACCAAAATGAAATTATTCCAAGGATGCAAAATTATTTTTCCACTCCAAAAATAGGCAATATAATTTAGCACATTAGCAAAACGAAAAAGAATAATTATGAGATCAAAATAGATGCAGCAAAGCATTTGACAAAATTTGACGTCAATTTATGATTTCAGAAATTTAGGCAATTTCAGTCAAAATCTCAGAAAGATATTTTGTAAATACTGGTAAAGTGTTTCTAAAATTTATAGTGATACAACTTAAGACAATGATTTTAGTCACCAATAGACCTCACGTATAAGAGTGATTCCATAAGATTATAATGGAGCTGGAAAACTGTTATCATCTAGTGACATCACAGCTGATGCAAGGTTGTAATATAAAGCATTACTCCCATAAAGCATTACTCCCATTTTTGTGGTGATCTGATGTAAACAGATGCTACTATGCTGCCACTATCTGACAGTTTATCACCTACAATTACGTACAGTACGTAATACTTGGTAACTATAAGGAATGACTATGTTACTGGTTTATGTATTTATTATACTATATTTTATATTAGTATTTAGAGTGCACTCCTTTCATTTGTATCTATAACGAAAAATTAACTGTAGGACAGTCTCAGGCAGGTCCTTCAGGAGGTATTCTGGAAGAAGGAATTGTTATCATAGCTGATGATAGTTCCATGTGTCATTGCCCCAGAAGACCTTCCAAGTGGGACAAGAGGCAGAGGCAGAAGACACTGATGACCCTGACCCTGGGCAGGCCTAGGCTAATGTGTGTGTTTATGTCTTAGTTTTTATCAAAAATATTTTAAAAGAAAATAAAATTAAAAATGGAAAAAAAGCTTATAAAGATATAAAGAAGATATTTTTATACAGCGATATAATGTGTTTGTGTTTTAAGCAAGTGTTATTACAAGAGTCAGGCCACATGTGGTGACTCATGCCTATAATCCTAGCACTCTGGGAGGCAGAGGTGGGTGGGTTACTTGAACTCACAAGTTCAAGACCAGCCTGAGCAAAAGTGAGATCCTGTCTCTACCAAAAATAGAAAAAAGAAAAACTGAGACAAGATCTCTTGAACCCAAGAGTTGGAGGTTGCTGTAAGCTATGACGCCATGGTACTCTACCCAGGGCAATAGCTTGAGACTCTGCCTCAAAAAAAAAAGCGAGTCGAAAGTTTTAAAGAGTAAAAAGTTTATGAAGTAAAAAAGTTCCAGTAAGCTAAGGTTAAGTTTTTAAAATGAATTACTAATTTTAGAGATGGGGTTTCACTCTGTTGCCCAGGCTGGAGTGCAGTGGTGCAATCATAGCTCACTGTTGACTTGAACTCCTGGGCTCAAGCCATCCTCCTGCCTCAGCCACCTGAATAGGTGGGACTACAGGCACATCCCACCACACCAAGCTAATTTTTTCCATTCTTTTTTTAGAGATGAGGTTTCACTGTACTGCCCAGGCTAATATCATAGTGCCCTGTGGCCTCAAATTTCTGGCCTCAACTGGTCCTCCCACCTCAGTCTTTTGAGCATCTGGGACTACAGATGCATGCTACCTCCATGGCACTCTACCCAGGCAACACACTAAGACTCTGTCTTAAAAACAAACAAACAAACAAAAACACTCACAAATGAATGTTTATAACAGCTTTATCAATAATCATCAAAACTAGAGGCAAGCATAATGAACCATAATGTTCTTCAAAGGTGAATAGATACCTATAATCCTTGCACTCTAGGGGGCTGAGGGAAGAAGATTGCTTGAACCCAAGAGTTTGAGGTTGCTGTGAGCTATGACACCCTGACGTTCTACCCAGGCGACAGAGTAAGACTCTGTCTCAAAAAAAGAAAAAAAGTAAATAAACAAACTATGGTACATTCACATACTGGGGAATAAAAAGAA